GTAACCCGGATATAAGAGACCCGGATATAAGAGAAACCCGGATATAAGAGAGATTTTCTCTGGTCCCAAATTAGAGCCTGTGTTAATGTAAACAAAATAGACCAAACCCGGATATAAGAGAAACCCGGATATAAGAGAAACCCGGATATAAGAGAAACCCGGATATAAGAGACTTCTTCTCCGGTCCCGACAACACTCTTATATCCGGGTTACACTGTATAAGAGAAACCCGGGTATAAGAGAGATTTTCTCTGGTCCCAAATTAGAGCCTGTGTTAATGTAAACAAAATAGACCAAACCCGGATATAAGAGAAACCCGGATATAAGAGAAACCCGGATATGAGAGACTTCTTCTCCGGTCCCGACAACTCTCTTATATCCGGGTTACACTGTATAAGAGAAACCCGGGTATAAGAGAGATTTTCTCTGGTCCCAAATTAGAGCCTGTGTTAATGTAAACAAAATAGACCAAACCCGGATATAAGAGAAACCCGGATATAAGAGAAACCCGGATATAAGAGAAACCCGGATATGAGAGACTTCTTCTCCGGTCCCGACAACTCTCTTATATCCGGGTTACACTGTATAAGAGAAACCCGGGTATAAGAGATTTTCTCTGGTCCCAAATTAGAGCCTGTGTTAATGTAAACAAAATAGACCAAACCCGGATATAAGAGAAACCCGGATATAAGAGAAACCCGGATATAAAGAAACCCGGATATGAGAGACTTCTTCTCCGGTCCGACAACTCTCTTATATCCGGGTTACACTGTATAAGAGAAACCCGGGTATAAGAGATTTCTCTGGTCCCAAATTAGAGCCTGTGTTAATGTAAACAAAATAGACCAAACCCGGATATAAGAGAAACCCGGATATAAGAGACTTCTCCGGTCCCGACAACTCTCTTATATCCGGGTTACACTGTATAAGAGAAACCCGGGTATAAGAGAGATTTTCTCTGGTCCCAAATTAGAGCCTGTGTTAATGTAAACAAAATAGACCAAACCCGGATATAAGAGAAACCCGGATATAAGAGAAACCCGGATATAAGAGAAACCCGGATATGAGAGACTTCTTCTCCGGTCCCGACAACTCTCTTATATCCGGGTTACACTATATAAGAGAAACCCGGGTATAAGAGATTTTCTCTGGTCCCAAATTAGAGCCTGTGTTAATGTAAACAAAATAGACCAAACCCGGATATAAGAGAAACCCGGATATAAGAGAAACCCGGATATAAGAGAAACCCGGATATGAGAGACTTCTTCTCCGGTCCCGACAACTCTCTTATATCCGGGTTACACTGTATAAGAGAAACCCGGATATAAGAGAGATTTTCTCTGGTCCCAAATTAGAGCCTGTGTTAATGTAAACAAAATAGACCAAACCCGGATATAAGAGAAACCCGGATATAAGAGAAACCCGGATATAAGAGACTTCTTCTCCGGTCCCGACAACTCTCTTATATCCGGGTTACACTGTACATGTAATTCGGATAAATGCAATGTACAGCTTAAGGAACAAATCTTAAATTTTGCAAATAATAATCATAAAATGCTTTATTTTATAGAAAATAAAGATAATGAGGAATACACGATTTCAAAATATGACCTGGGAGTAGATAATTTAAATAAGTAATTTTTTTTTTTTTTTAAATAAAACTATTATATTAGATAATGATTCATTTCTTAAGTCTGTATGCAAACCATGGAAATATTTGGCAATTGTCTTTCAGGTAAGACTCTTTTTCTGGTTCATCCAACACTTCAGGGTGCACGGTGAGTGTAATGGATATAATCAAATTTCTTATCAAAATATGTTTAGTAATGTAAGATTTTGCTTAATGCCAGATCATACCTTATGGATCATTACATTCTTGCTCTTCATCTATGTGCCATGTCCATTCAGGACGTCGGGGAATCATGGCTCTCCACAACTTCCTATCCTTTGTAGCTCTTAGCAACATTTGTTTTTGCTATCCCCCACTTCCTGCTCTGCCTCTGGAATATAATTTTGTGAAGTGGGTTACTCGCTGTTTCTTTCTGTTCATTTTGTTTTCAATATATCCATTGCGATTTATGCACAAAATACACAAGCTAAAATGTTATATGTTTTCTAAACGTGCTATTGTGGGAACATGGTGTAGTGGAATATATAGTTACAAGCTAATATTGTACATCGAGACATACGTCATCCGTGGAATTTAGGGAAATGGAATATGCGGTTTCAGGAATAAATTTAATCTTTTTTTCTAATAATAATTATAAAAGACTTTATTTTACGAAAGATAAAGTCTTTTATAATTATTATTAGAAAAAAGATCAAATTTATTCCTGAAACCGCATATTCCATTTCCCTAAATTCTAAAAAGACCTAGGAGTAGATTATTTTAATAAGCATTTGTCTTTTAGATCTGTTGTGTCGTGTATTCATTCTCGGCATTTACCCGAAACCTCTTCACAAGGCCGGTTTTTATGTGGGATGTTCCGTGTCAGTAGGCTCGGGCAAAAATTGCCCATAGAGCCCGTATACACAGGATTGAGTAGATGTCTACCTGCCCTGATGAGACTCTGTCCTTTGCTATAGCCTCGTCTGGGTTTTATCTCCACTCGGAGGCAGAGAATCGACAAGCAGAGTTAATTGTAATCGTCGTGTATTTGTTCTCACAGGTACAAAGTGTAGTCAAGGAAAGATAAATATCTCCCGAATGTAGAAAGCTTCTCACGTATATAGAAATCTAATTTGCATATCACAACAAGATTAAAACTAATTATTAAACTAATATCGTAGATAGTACATCGATTTCTCATGTCTGCATGTAAACCATTGAAATATTTTGCATTTGACTTCCATGTAAAAGTCTCTTTCAGATTGCTTCAGTGCGTACGGAGAGTGTAATGGATGGCGGCTTGAAAAGAGAAACATTTAAATTTCATTATACAGGGTGTTTCAAAAAGAATACGCCAAAATCATTACACTGTTTTTTCAGGTCTATAGAATTGTAGTGGAGTGAATCAGTGGTTATTTGATTAGTTATCAAAGTTTGATTGGGTGTCAGTTTCACCGCTGTCTTTAGTATAACTTCCGGTGCAGCTACAAACAGGACAAACCTATCTCGAAATGCTCCAAAAATGGCTATTCAATTTACAGCAACCAGATTCGAATGACTTCATTTTTCAGCAAGATGGAGCACTACCCCATTAGCAATTCTGAATGAAAACGTGCCTCAGCGATGGATTGGGAGGAGAGGTGCTAAAGACCGTACTCTCTGTGCTTGGCCTGCCAGATCCCCAGACCTCACTGTGTGTGACTTTTTCTTGTGGGGGTATTTTAAAGACCAAGTTTATATTCCAGCACTTCCAGCAAGTATCAATGATTTTAAAAAATCGAATAACAGCTGCAATCAACACGGTGGACCGTGACATGCTGAGGCACGTTTGGGAGGAATTCTCATATCGGCTTGATGTTGTCCGCGCTGCCGGTGGTAGCCACATTGAGCACTTATAAAACATGAAATGAAACTTGAATTTATATACAACACATATGTTCATGCTAGAGGTTTGTAATTTTTTTCGTTTTTGACATATCACGTGATGATTTTGGCGTATTCTTTTTGAAACACCCTGTATAATAACATGATGAGAAGTGGTTTCCATTCGAGCAGCTTCTTCCCGTGAACAGCTTCTCTGTGGAACTGGCTTCTAAGAGGATGTTTCCCGATCATTACAATATTAACCAGTTCAAGTCTAGGATTAACCGATATCTTCCCCCACCTATCCGCATAAACCTGTGCCCCTTATTCTGTAACCTTCTACCCCGAATGGTCCCAGAGCCGTGTATAGAGTGAACGTCACTGTAAAAATAAGAAAAGGCCAAGGAAATATTTTGCATTTGTCTGCCACGTAAAAATATTCCTCTGATGACTCCAATATTTCACCTGTGCAAGCTATGCTTTTGTTGTTTTTTTTTCATTTGGAAAATAAATTAATTAGCTTCCTAAATATTATTTCTTTAAATATCTTAATACTCATTTTTACCAAAAGAATTTATTACTTGAGACCAAAAAATATTAAATATATTTGAGTTTATTACGCATTCATTATAATCGATATTTCATGTGACAGAATATTTTCCAGAATTAGACTTTTAAAAGCAATGATTGTTCTATTTAAATAAAAATCTTGCTGACCAAAAAAAAAAAAAAAAAAAAAGAAAGAGAGAGAGAAATAAGTTTACTCAAAAAATAAGATATTGATTTTTTTTTTATGGGCTACCATACTTACAAATGGAAATCATTCAGTTTCATGTTGTCAACATGAATTTGTGTTGCTCTCCATACAAATATCACTTCATCCATTCAAATTGATATTTGACTGATGCAAACCACCCAAGACATGGCCTCGTTGGATATTATTTAAATAAAGGATTATTTAAATAAAGAATTATTTAAATAAAGGATTACTTAAATAAAGGATTACTTAAATAAAGGATTATTTTTTAAAAATTAAACTATTTATGGAAGTCTCTTTTTCTGATTAATCCAATATTCAATTTGTGTTTTGTAAGCTATACGTTCGTTTATTTTTACTTTGAAAATGAAATACTTTGATTCCTAAATTTTTCACAGTGAAAATATTTCTATAAGTATCATAATAATCATTTTCACCAAAAACTCAAATACATTTATTATTTTTTACCCTACTATAAAACAGACATCAGATTGAATTTGTTGGTACATTCGTTTTCTACGGTTTATCAACCCCTTTGAAGGTTATTTAAAGCCAGGAAATATTTTTTGATTGAAAGATTTTTTTTTAGGTAATAATCGTTTAGTGATACAAGTCTTACTAATTAACCCATAGCTGGAGAGATAAGAGGTGGATTCATACATTTACCAATAGTATTTTCGCGTAAGAGAATATAACGAACCCAACATTGGAACTCGGCTCTACGATTAACTATTCCGATCCATTATCCATTACACTACCAGTACATCCAAGCTTACAGCGCCTGGTATTCCCATGTGGTCACCCATAAAATATACTGAACAGGCTCGACATTGCTTAACTTCGGTGATTATACAGGAACCGGTGTTTCAACGTATGATCGTGAGCCTTACTAACCGCACATTCAAGCGGCCATACATCTAAGTACTGACCAGGCTCGACGTTGCTTAACTTCGGTGATCGTATGGATACCAGTGTTTCAACGTGTTATGGTCGTAAGCCATACCACCAGCACATCCAAGCTTACAGCACCTGGTATTCCAAAGCGGTCACCTATCTAGGTACGACGTTGCTTATCTTCTGTGATCATACGGGAACCGCTGTTTCGACATGATGTGGCCGTAAGCCTATCAAATTCAAGTTAGCTGTAAAGGAATGTTATTGATAAAAACATTTAGAATAAATAAAAACAGACACGTTTTAATTTCCAAGAGAATAAAAAGAATTTTACTAACTAAGATAGTCATTAGGAAAGAAACAGTGAAGCAATATACACAAGATGTGGCAATATGCGCCGGCAGTCAGTTATATGCTTATCATATATATATATATATATATATATATATATATATATATATATATATATATATATATATATACTTTGACGTGTAAATATATATCATAGCATTGAGTAATAGAACAGCATATATTTCTTTGTATGTGCATATAGTACTGTACGTTCATGTTTCTTATATTCACGTGTGTTTGTCTTTGTGCGTGTGTATTGGAAATTATTTGTGCAGAAATATATCAGATATGTACATATCTATATAAGATAGTTGAAACATGCTAATGACTATACATTGTAATATATACAATATATAAAAAAAGCGTGTATGTAAGAATACACGTGTGTTGTTATTAGATGCATGTATATTTGAGAGTGCGCGTATATACGTGTATGTATCTGTACGTTTTTTTTTTTTTTCGAAATACAGAATTTAAAGACATGAATTCAGAATTTGTAACAAAATCCTACGAATTTAGGGATAAATAAAAACGGAAATGTCAGGCATATTTACCGGATTTCGCACGTTTTAGCCTGAGTGGAAATCAAATAAAGTGGGCATTATTTGATTGTTGATGGTTTCTTTATTTAGATAATAATAATAATAATAATAATTATTATTATTATTATTATTATTAGTAGTAGTAGTAGTAGTAGTAGTAGTAATAGTAGTTTTAGTAGTAGTACAAGTTGGAGTAATAATTATTGTGTTGGTAACAAATATGGTTGTTGTAGTAGTAAAGCTAGTATTGATTGTAGTGGTAGTAGTAGTGGTAATAGTAGTAATAAAGGTGGTGGTAGTAGCAGGAGCAGTAATAATTGTAGTGATTGTGGTAGTAATATTGTGGTCTTAGGAGTAATAACTGTGTTAGTGGTAGTAGTATTAATAACTGTGGTGGTAATGGTGGAATTAGTAATAATAAATGGCGCTGATGGCAGTAGTACTACTAGTAGTAGTAACTATGATGGTGGTGGTAAGAGTAACAGTGGTGGGATTAGTTGAAGTATTAGTAATAATTGTGGTTGTGGTGGCAATAGTAGTCGTAGTAATACTTGTGGTAGTAGTGAGGGAATTAGTAGGAGTAACTATGGTGGTGGTGTTAGTGAGATGACGGTAAGGGTAGTAATAACTGTGGTGGTGGTTGTGGAATTAGTATTCATAACTGTAGCGGTGGTAATAGTAGGATTAATAACTGTGGTGATGGTGTTGGTAGTAGTAATCGTAGTAATAACTGTGATGGTAGTGGAAGTAGTACTAATAGCCGTAGTAGTCGTAATAGTAGTAATAACTGTGGTGATAGTGATAGTAGTAATAACTATAGAGTGGTTGTAGAAGTAGTAGTAATAACAGTGGAGGGCTAGTAATAGTATTATTAGTAATAACTATAGTGATGGAAATAGTAATAGTAACTGCTGATGTTATTATGATTGTGTTGTTATTATTATTATTATTAGTAGTAGTAGTAGTAGTCGTAGTCGTTGTCGTCGTCGTCGTAGTAGTAGTACTAGTAGTAATAACGGAGATGATATAATACCTGCGGAGGTAATAGTTTGTAATATATGTGGTGGTAGAACTAGTAGTAATAGCAATAGTTGCGATAATAATCCAAGTATGTGTGAGTGTTGAACAGTTCTCTTTCAAGTTTTTTTTTTTATTATTGTTGTTGCTATCGTAAATGCTCTTGCTGCTACCCGGCTGTTCAATCGATACGGCTGTTAAACATCTCAACAGGAACAACCCCCTGAGAGATAACCATTATGGACTTCGCTAGATCGACATTCTTAATTGTCACTACTCACAGAACCAGCAAGTAATAAGTTCACCACAAAGACCATTGTCTGAGATATATCAAAAGCCTTTGACAAGGTGTGGCATCAGAGGTTGTTGCATACACTCTCCAGTTGTGGAATCTCTGGAAGGATATTCTTAGTTATCAAGTCCTTCTTAACAGGAAGGTCGTTGTTAATAGTGATTTTCCAAGCGTAGCTTAGATGTGGCACAAGGCCGAAAATAGGGAGCACCCAGTGAGGATCGAACTCACTACTCAGTCGTAATTGTTCTAGCGAGCCAAGCTTGCTAACCATTACACCGCCTCGAGGTGCCCAAGGTCGTTGTTAATAACCAGTCATCAGAAGCCAATGAGATCAATGTTACACAGAATTCTCTAATCGATCCTAACCACTTTCTGCTCTATATTAACGATCGGCGTATGAAGATACATCGATTTTTAGTGAACATCTATGCGGATGATACAACAGCTTATAGCTGCACCTCCCCAAATCTAGAACCTGGCAGCTGATCTCGCTTCTGTTCTCGCCCTGGTAGCTCACTGTAGGAAGGACTAGTTTTCAAAATTCAATACGTCCAAAACCAAACTAGTAACGTTCCACCATCACCAAGTAGACTTGGAACCGTCACCTATCATGGTTGACAGGCGTTCTTTTAAGGAGGCTCTTTTTGGGGCCCAAGAGCATCCCAGACCTCAAGTGGAACTCATTTTGTTTTAATCAGTTTTCCCCTAGCAAGGCGGTTATGCCACTATCACGCTGAGGTTCACAGGGAGTGAAAGCGAAAAAGAATACTGAGAATATGGAGGATTGAGGAAAGGACAAGAGATGAAGGGGGTTTAAGAAGACAGGCGATTAACGTTGCATTTAAATTCTTGAAGATTGTAGTTATCAGGGAAGGGGGCTCCACAGATAGAAAGTGCGAGAAAAGAAACTGTTAGAGTATAAATGGCGGTTGCAATTTAACTATTTCATCAGTAAAAGGGTAGGATCTAAATGTTAATCTAATCGCTTAATTCATGTAGTCGGGGCACCAGGGGGAAAAGTTCACCAGAGCAGTTGCCATGAAAATATTTGAAAACAGAAGGACATATAAGACCCATCGCTAAAGATGCTGGAAAATGGTCGCTTCCGGTAGATGTCTGACCCCTGTTATACTCTTAACAAGAGCCAGATCAGACCAAAAATGGAATATTGCTGCTATATCTGAACTGGTGCTACACAGTCCTCACTTGACAGAGTTTGAAAGCATCTATGCGGGCTTGTGGGTGGGGAATTATTTTCAACCCTACAACCTCTTTCCCACGGACGAAAAATTGTTATCCTCTCCCTTCTCTATTTCTATTTCCATGGCATGGGTTGATAAGCTACATTCCTTAGTCCCACCAACCCTGGCCTATACAACTGCGAGTTGCCATGCCACGTACACAAGGATGAATGATCTTCATTCCATTCGTATTCCATTAGTGAGGAAGAAGTTCCACTCGGACAGCTTCTTCCCAAGAACTACTGCTTTGTGGAAAAAAATCCTGGAAGGATGTTTTCCCGATCACTTCAATCTTAACCTGTTCACATCTAGGTTAAACCGTTATATTTTCTACATATCCACATGAAACTGCACTTCTTACCTAATAAAGAGCTACTCAAAGTGGAGGGTTACCGTATGATTATCAAATACTAGCAGTAGAGCCCGGCGTTGCCCGGGGATGTAACAGTAAGAGATACATCAAGTATCGACCATCATAAAGACTGAAAATAAAATTGACAAAGATTATTGTTTAAGGTTGACGGACACGCATGTCTTAATTATTTTTTTCTTTTGTTTTTTTTTACGACTTGGTCAAACCCAAACTCAAACAAAAACATTGTTTTCAATTGTTATGAGTCTACCGATTGAATAGAATTTTATTATAAACAATTGTCTTGTAAATGAAATTTTTAAAGCATTCTGAATGTAAAAATAAAAGAAAAAGTGTGCAAGACAATAAGAAACACTACCTGCCAAAAAAAAGTGAAGTTTTGTTGAAATCGGTTGAAAATGTAGGAAATCCGATCCCATATATAAACGAACACACACACACACACACACACACACACACACACACACACACACACAAACAAACCTGGGTTTTTATAATAAGTATAACTCGATATGAGTTGTCCCCTTTCATTCTCGACAGCGATGCCTCTTAATCGTGTTTTCAAATTGATTTCGTGCAAAAACAATTGTGTTTTTTCCAATTTTGGCGTCGTCACAACCACTGCAAGGTAATTTTACGTAGTCCTGTGAAGTTTTGTTGAAATCGGTTGAAAAATGTAGGAAATCCGATCCAATATATAAACGTACAGACGCACATACAACCTGGGTTTTATAATAAGTATGATTATATTTTTTATTAATCATCATCATCATCATTTTCATCATCATGATTTTCATGTGTATCATCATCGTCATCAAATCAAATGAGAGAAGGGCAGAGACTGTATTTTAACAGTAGCAGCGACACTGGAGCAGGACCACTACCGCGTCTTATTATTATTATTACTAGTAGTATTGCTAGTAGTAGTTGTAATAGTCGTTGTAGTAGTAGTATTAGTAGCAGTCGTAGTAATAGTAGTATTACTATTAGTATTAGTACTACAGTGCACCCTCGATTCTCGAACGTCTCACATGTCGAATAAATCGGTTTTCGAACAGAAAATTCGAGATGAAAATGCCTCGGTTATCGAGCAAAATTTTGGTTCTCGAACATCATTGCAGAACCGAGTTAACCTGAACGGAATCATTTTTGAGTCGACCGCCGTGTTGTATACATTCATGTGTTGCGTTGACTTGTGTTGGGAAAAGTGGCTGAAGCCGAGCTGCCAGTTTAGAACCAATAACATTGCAGATTCTTCTTTTGAGAGTTTATATAATTATTTC